GGCTAGAAAGCTCCATAAGAACCAAGCAAATCTTTATAGTTAGATATGAACCTCTATAAGCCGCCAATTTCCTGGCAAATGCCCATGGCCTAAAATCTTTAGGGTAGTTGGCCTAGAGTTCTTTTTGCCAAAGATCTTCATTTCTTAGATATCTGTAGCAAATATGTCTATGTACTAATTCATTTGACCTAATGACCTTCATACTGCTTTATCATCTTTCAACCACCCCTAATCTTTTCATTTCTCTCTGTCTGTGCATCCCTTCTTTATCAAATTTATTGCCTTGGCTTGTCAGACATTGATAAAGGACGATCATCTATATATAGACAACATTCAAAGGTAAGAGATGAATATTGCATTAGAAAAAATCCTACCACACGAGTTCCTTAAAATGCAGGAGATGAATATTGTATAAGAAAATCCTATCACATGAGTTCCTTATAAATGCTGGTCATTTATCTATTTTCAATACTACAAAGATGAAAAGTGGGTGTTATAAATCTAACCCAATAGTCATACACAAGACATTCACCTCTGTATAAATAATTTCAAAAGTGAAAAGTGATATTATTTAGGTCGATACAACCAACCATATTGCGTTAACAAATAATTGAGAGAGATTGGGTGGGTGGGTTGTTTTTTCTTTCTTTCTTTTTTGGGTTTGGTTTCCGGGGCGCGGCGGGCGGGGGGGGGGGGCCAGCTTACAATTAACAAACAGACTATTCACATATGAATGTTGGTCATGTTTCATGAAAAGTACAAATCTCAAAGCCAAATAGGTAGTCTTCAATCGTAACATAAGAACCATAAGTTATGAAACCAATAAACAATGATCAGCGTAAGAATATTTACATATATGGCACAAGAACGACACTTCAAGCAGAAATGCATGTACTGATCTATACACCTTTATGACCCAATATATGCACAAAATGATTAAATAGAGTACCTTGAATTGAAAACTTCTTGTAAGAATTTGCCGCATCTACATAAGCTGATGCGGCTTCATGCTTGCTATCCAACTGCACCAGTAAAATAAACACGCCTAAAATCATAACATCTTAAGTGATTGCACTGAAGCATTTCAAGTATGTGAACCGAAGAAGTAACCTTTAAGTGACAATTCGCCAGTTTGATGTACACAGCGCCAGCTCTCTCCCCTGAGACAAAAATATATTAAACAGAATAATAATAATTTTAGAAATGGTAGACCTACATTTTTTTTAACAACGAGAAAATAATATCGGTCAGCATATGCCACTATAAACTAGTTCAATTCAATGGAGTGTCCGATCTCAAAATTCAATTTTTCACAACGAACCCTAAAAATCGCACCAACAATAAAAAAAGGGGGGCGATCGCGATCCAAATCGATCGAAAGGAGAGGACTCTTACAGTTCTTGCCGAGCTTGAAGCAATTAGCCGCCTTCTCGTACAACTCGACGGCCTCATCGGTCTTCGACCCGAAGAAGGACCACCCGCTGAGCTTCTTCTCCGCTTTCCTCTCGAAATCGTCGCCTCTCGCCGTCTGATCCGCCATCGCCTGGCTCCGATCGGATTCGGAGAGAGCGATACGAAAACTGAAATCGAGATCGAGATCGAGCTTGAAATCTAGGGTTTTGTGTGACGGCGAGAATGAGAGGGGGGTGGGGGAGGTGGGAGGAGAAAATGGGAAGCGGTTGGTTGTTGGAAAAAGGATTTGGAGAGATTCGAGTTCGGGTACGGGTCGATATTATCTTTGGTCGAATATTGGATGCTGGTTTTGGATTTCGGAGTACCTCCCTAATAGCCTGTTTCCATGCTTTGCACGGATGGTGCACGTGCATTTAATTGATTGTGTAAGACCATATCATACTCCCTTCAAACGTGGAACTTAAGGAAAATAGCTTTTATTTTCTGAAATTACCCTTCAAATTTTATTAAAGTCGCTAAACTAGTTGCTCAACTTTAACGGCTCGTTTGGTACCCGGGAAGGAGCGGAAACGGAATGTCATTTCAACTTTTCATTCATGCTTACCAAACATGATGTGTTTTTAGATGCTAGAAATATTGTTCTCACTTCTCCTCAATTCCCACTTAATGTGGGAATTGCTACTTGTTTTTGTCGAAAATTATTTTCTTCATTGTATACCTCATTACAACTTTGATCGTTACAATAAGTTCAAAAAGATTGGTCTTTTTATAAGACCTTTACACAATGAAAATAAAAGATACAATTATCTTGAAAATAAACGCAAGATCCGTTTATCGTCTCCTGCTTGCGTGTGTGTCTTTGCCTGTGACGGGGTTTATCCGTGGACCGCCTTAGATCTGTTGGCCTTCTTGTTTTGATGATGTTTAACAAACAATTTACCACTAATGTTGTTTGTCTAGTATTTGTGTTTTCTTATTTATTGTAGACAAACAACGTTGTTGGAGGATGGATGGAATAGAGCTTCAACGATCATATCCAATGGAGGTTAGCGGAATAAGTTAAAGCTTCATCCGCAAGATTACCTAGAAGAGCTTATTGAAGATCAAGATCTAGCTTGGGTAATTTAGTTTAGGATTTATATTATGTGTGTTATATACTCTAAGCTCAATAATCTATACACACACATTTATTGGTTTCTTCGTATATATATATATATATATATATATATATATATATAGTATATATATATATATATATATATATATATATATATAATATATATATATATATATATATATATATATATAATTATAAGATAAATATTATACAGTTGTTTCTATGCATATCATATAGTTATATATATACATACATAATGTTTTGATGTTTTATGTATATATATTGAATCTATATTTCATATTTTCTATTATGTTTTTGAAACATTGCCATAGATATGGCAATTTGTAAAAAATGGTGTATTCTTAGATTATAGATTCAATATCAGTTTATAACATGTTTTTTAAGTCTAACAAAAAACCATTTTCACCATAAAGTTTCAAAAGTTGTTATGTCAAAAATCAAAATTCGAAGCTATTCATATTTTCATGGTTTTGGACTAGTTTGTAAAATAATGATGGATTTTCCATTTGGCGGAAGTCCTTTCTGATAACCAGTCACTATAGTATGTTTATTATCATGTCTACAATCATTCCCCAAAGTTTTACATTTTTTGGAATTTATTTGATATTTTTAAACAGTGTTTTAAAATCAGATAAACAATTTTTCAGACCTGTCATATCTGTTTTCGGTCGACCGCACCGGTCGACCGCTCGTTTGTTTTTTCGTCAGCATGGTCCAGAGAGTTGGTCGGTCGACCGGTCCGGTCGACCGAAAAGCTCCATCGGTCGACCGCACCGGTCGACCGGATAAGTGTTTGCTTGATTTCCTGTTTTCGACCTGGATAACGGTCGACCGAACTTTCCATCGGTCGACCGAATTTTTCCATCGGTCGACCGACGGAATTTTCGGTCGACCGACAATATAGCCGTTGCTTTTTAACGGCTCTTTCTCTGAGCTGTTTGCTGGGGTTTTTGGTCATTTTGTTTTGGGGGTTTTTGCTGAGATTTCTAGTGGGTATATATACCCCATTGCTGATGTCTTTTCAATTTGATTAAGAGAGTTTTAAAAACAAGTTTAAGAAAGTTTTAAACAAGGGTTTGAGTTTGTTTAGTTTGTTTTTGGGGTTTGCTGTTACAAAGAGGAGTTTGCATCACCAGTTGAGGATTTCATCCTCAAAATCTTCTCATCCTCTCTTTGTGTTTATAGAGAAGTTTTCTAACTCTTTTCCCTAGCAATTTCATTATTGATTTATCATATATTAATTATTGCTAGTTTGCTATTTGAGTTAGATTTCATTTTACTCATTGTTACACACACCCACATTGAGCTTTTAGTATTTACATACATAGTATAGTTGGGTGGTGAGAGATTGTAACTTTGAGTTGTGCTTTCATTGTGTTCTCATCTATTGTAGAGAACAAATTTATATTTGTTACATTGTGAGTGTTGTAAGGTTTTCGGTGAGCTAGAAACCGAGTGTGTAGTGAGGTTTTCGGTGAGCTAGAAACCGAGTGTGAGGAGTGACGTTGATCGGTGAGCGTTGAAAACCGATACTGTGAGGTGTAAACGTTATTCGGGTGAACGTAGAAAACCCGGTTGATAGTGGATTTCTCCCCGGGAGTGGGGAGCGGAGACGTAGGACGGAAGGTCCGAACTCCGTGATCATATTGCTTGTTTGAGTGTGCTTTGGCGTTCATTCATATTTATGTTCATATCTTATATCGCCATTGTCATTAGCTCATTATCTATTTCATCCACTATCTTGTTTAGATTATTTACCCTTGTGTTGTTTATATATCCTTGCATATATTTCATCATATAGGATATATCACTTTGTGTATATTGTATATTCTTGCCCATAATAGATTGTATACCTATCTTGCAAGAATATAGTTGTTAATTAGTTTTAATTAGTATTTAATCGGATTAGATTAGCATAAGACCCTAATCACCCCCCTCTAGGGTTCTAACAAGATCTGGATCCAGTTGATAGAAAATTGGGCAGAGCTCCTACTTCACTAAGGAGGTATTTGCTTAAAGCGCTGAAATCGACCAAGCGAAATCAATAGCTCTTCTCGAGATTAAAACCAAGCCTAATCTCGAGGAACGGACGGGAACGGGCTTCAGATCCTTCGAATTGCTCCTTCTTTATACCGCGATTCGCCGGGATCTCGCTAGCCCTTGCTGAAATTCGTGCTCCCTTGACTCCTTAATCCGGCAGCACCTCGCCCTCTTGATAATAACCCCGCCCCTGTGAAAAGAGCCCCTAGGCTTGTATTTATAGACTTCGGTCGGGGGGGTTTTCGGATGAGAACAATGGATTTGGCCTTATCTTCAGTTGATAACGGCCTAACCACGTTTGTAGATGAGATTAAGTCGGTTAGGAACCCCTGGAATAGATAAATCCTGGGAAAAACCGTTTAAAAACCGCAAAACGTGTTGATAACCGCAAAATGTGGGCTGGCTGACCCGCTCATCTCGGGCCGCAGAGCTGTATTTTACTGATATTATTATTTTTAACAAATTGCTCCAATTGGTTCCTTCTTATATGCTTTTTAACTAGCGGAACAATTATTTGCTACTCAATGACGTAGAATTCGCTCTAAATTAACCACATCAAAATCTTTGTTTGTGATGTTTTCTCTCAACCAGTAATTACAAATGTACAATTTAACTTATTAAAATTATTTTTTTCATTTATTATAGTCATTGTGTTGTTAGTTTGTTATTTATATATAATCCTTAATTGTTAAACAATGCTAAAAAAGTTAAAGATGATTAAAAAATTAGAAAAAATAACAACAAATAATTAAGTGAGTTGTGCCAGCCGACCCATGCCATGGCCCATCTCGTTCATTCACGCAACCGTAAGCGGATAGGCTAAGCACTAGGCTCGAAAATAAGTGGCGGAAAATGTTTTGCTGGACTCTTTGCGATCCACGAGTTGGCTCGCCCTGCCAATGGGCCCGCGTGGGCTAGCTCACTGACGAGCCATCACGGCCTGTTGTCCACACCTATTCAGCTTCTACTATATTTTATTAAATTCATTAAATTACCCATCCAACTTCTACCATATATTATTATTATTTAGTTTTTGGACGCTCTCCTAGCGCCTGTGATCCCCGTCACCCTCCTCTCTCTCAACCTTCATCGATTGCCGATCATCAATTCCCCTTACTATTCCTGCCAATCATTTTCATCGAATTCTACGTCAGTTTTGATTTGAAAAAGAAATCTCATGTGCCAAATACTTCTAGTAGACCACATGTTTTTAAATATGATGTTTGTGGTAGGTTTGGACATCTTGCAAAATTTTGTTAGAATATACAAAAAGCTTCTAAGTTATAATATGTTCCAAATAGACCATTGTTTAAGAATGTTTCTCATTTGTAAAATATTTCTAAAAGACAATCTTTATTTACAAATGGTTCCCGTGCACGAGCTATGGTCCACAAAAATAAATGGATCTCTTTCATTGCACATATTGCAATCGGAAGGGTCATTTGAGTGATTATTGTTTTGATCGTGTTAGTGCACTACATGTACCCAAGAGGGTTCATAACCCTAGGGCTTTGAGCTTAAAAGATAGGGGTCATGTCCCTAAATCTCTTGGTACCAAGAATTCTTGGGTACCAAAACAAATTTAATTTTTAAACCAAGTATTTTAGTGTTTTTCTTTTTTCCTTTTCTTGGTTTTGAAAATTATACTTTAAATTTTTGAACATGAAAAAAATTCTTTTTATTGATCAAATTCTTTTGTTTTCATGATTATTAGTTTTATTTTGATGAGAGGTTTGTGTTTATATAACCCTCCGGGTTTATTGGGTGTTTATTCCCAAATCTTGTTTATCGGGTACTAGTAATCTTTATATAGGTTGAGACAAGCTTAAGAGCTTGATATTATTGTCTCTCTTGCATTTTGTCAAAAATTTTGTTTTGATTTATTGCTTTGAATTCATTATATAACACAAATAGATGATTCAAATTTTAAATATATATGCTTTATAATGTATTCTTTATGTGGTTTGATCAAGTTTTACAAAGAAAATTTTATTTATTGAAAACGTTATTTTTGGGCTTAAAATTTGATTTATGATTTTATTTGGTTGATTTGTTTTCATTTGAAAACATTTTGTATGATTCTCATGTTCCTTTTCTTTTGATTTCATAAATCTACTCT